CACACACACACACACACACACACACATCTAGTGAGGCAGACAGAGACAAACACACAAATATACATAAACACACTGCAAAAGAGACACATACATACATTGATATTCACACAAGTAAAACACACACACACACACATGGGGTAAGAGAGACATACACACACATACAGCGTGAGACACACACATAAAGTGAGGCAGAGAGACAGATAAACAGTGAGAGTGTCACACACACATACTCAGTGACACACACACATACACACACACACACACACACACACAATGAGACAGAGACAAACATACATACACACTAAGAGTCACACACACACACACACACACACACACACTCACTCACATACATACTTTCTCTCACACGCGCACATACTCACAAAAAACACACACCCAAACTCAGATACACACACTTTATTCCACACATAAACACAGAAAAACACACACTCTCTATCTCACCCACTCATACATACACACAGAATGCCCCCCCCCCTCCCCTACACACACACACACTAACTCACTCACATACATACTTTCTCTCACACGTGCACAGACACGCATACACACACTTTGCTCTGTCGCACAGGTTGACTCCTCTCTAACAAGCTTGTATCATAATCTGCTGCTGCTTTTACACAGAACTAATAATAATCCGATACTCTAATCGCTGTAATCTAGTGGATTACTTTGAACATTTACATTTGGATTACTTTTTGGATTACTTTTAGATTACTTAAGAGCAAACTAATGTAAATCATAACTCCCAAGAGGACATAAAGCACATTAAAGCTTGGCGGGGAAGATCTTGGCATTAGATGAGCTTAAAACATCCTCCAGGTAATAAATATTTTCATCTAAAAATCAATAATTTGTGAAGGTCAGTGGATTTGATGAGGAGGACAGCACTACACCGATGTACATTCACAGTGTGCTGTTACTTGTGTATGTCATGATGTAATCCAGAAAGAGTAACTGTAATCTGACTTTGAGGAGAGGAAAGGTAAAAGTATTCATGAATACAAACTCACAAATACTAATTCTGTTATCGTTTACACTGAAGAAGATATTTTGAAGAATGTTGGAACATGTCGGTAACCACTGACTACCATAGTATAAGTCAGTGGTGACTGGCTTCATTCTTTTTTTTCGGCGTAGTCCCTTTATTAATGAGGGGTCGCCACAGCGGAATGAACCGCCAACTTATCCAGCATATGTTTTACACAGCGAATGCTCTTCCAGTTGCAACCCAGTACTGGGAAACATCCATACACACTCATTTACACATATACACCACGGACACTTAAGCTTTCTCAATTCACCTATGGCGCATGTGTTTGGACTGTGGGGGCAACCTGAGGAAACCCACGCCAATGCAGGGAGAACATGCAAACTCCACACAGAAATGCCAACTGACCTAGCCAAGGCTTGAACCAGCGACCTTCCTGCTGTGAGGCGACAATGCTACCCACTGTACCACCAAACTGTTAATGATTTCAAGCACTATTAAAATTCATTCGTTTATTTTCGTCCACTTTTCCAGGGCCTGGTCGCTGGGGCAGCAGTTTCAGAAGAGAACCCCAGACTTCCCTCTTCCAAGACACTTCCTCCAGCTCCTTCAGGGGGATCCTGAGGCGTTCCCAGGCCAGCCGAGAGACATAGTCCCTTTAGCATGTCTTGGGCTTTCTCTGAGGTTTCCTCCCGGTGGAACATGCCTGGAAAACCTCCCTAGGTAGGCGTCCAGGAGGCATCCGAAACAGATGCTCGAGCCACCTCAGCTGACTTTTCTCGATGTGGAGGAGCAGCGGCTCTACTCCGAGCTCCTCCCGGATGACAGAGCTCCTCACCCTGTCTATAAGGGTGCACCCTGCAACCCTGCAAAGGAAACTCATTTCGGCCGCTTGCATCCGAGATCTTGTCATTTCGGTCATGACCCAAAGCTCATGAGCAGAGGTAAGAGTATTCCAGCCAAACTAAATGATATAAGACTTTCTCCAGAAGACAAATATAATAAGTAGTATAGACTTTAATATTTCCTCAAAAGAATCAATACACACTTTCAAGGTTTAACAATATAGAATTCTTATATTGTTTTTTGGTAATTCCTGAACTAAATTATTTACTGTAGAAATTACATTTACTTCATCACCGAATGATTTTAATAATTATGAAAAATAGTATATTATAGTAGTATAGTAATTTATAGTAAATACTATAGTGTTTTGGACCATGCTATTGCAAAGAACCTGAATTAATCTATTGTGGTGATTCTACAGTTGCTGTAGTAACACAACACCTATAGTGATTGATATGTTGTGGTGATTCTACAGTTACTATGGTAACACAACACCTATAGTGATTGATATGTTGTGGTGATTCTACAGTTACTATGGTAACACAACACCTATAGTGATTGATATGTTGTGGTGATTCTACAGTTACTATGGTAACGCAACACCTATAGTGATTGATATGTTGTGGTGATTCTACAGTTACTATGGTAACACAACACCTATAGTGATTGTTCGGTCATTGTTCGGTCATAGTGAGTATGCAGTTGCTATGGTAACACAATAACTGTAGTGATTGATCTGCTTTGGTGATTTTACAGCTGCTACGGTAATGCAGCAACTATAGTAATTCATATGTTGTGGTGATTCTAAAGTTGCTATGGTAACAACAACTCTAGTGATTGATCTGTTGTGGGGATTCTACAGTTGCTATGGTAACATGACAACTATATTAATTGATCTGTTGTGGGGATTCTACAGTTGCTATGGTAACACAACAATTCTAGTGATTGATCTGTTGCAGAGATTCCACAGTTGCTTTGGTAACACAACCACTATAGTAATCCGCTTGTTACGTGGTGACGTGTTGGTGATGCATGTAATACTGTTACCAGGTCCAAGCCGCCACTCATTTGAGTGGAGAAATCATTCGTTTATGATCGCGTTTTATTCCTGTCACACATTAAAGTTAATTTTATATAAAATCAATGTGTACACAACAATCTCTGGGCTTGCTGCATAACAAATACCAAAAATTTAACAATTTATAAAAAATGTATCACTTTCTGGCCATCGGATATTCGGCATGGACATATATTCTGTGATCGTGATTTTCGAAAGCCTTAAATCGCTTTGTAAACGTTTATTATTACCATTTCATGAGTCTCCCCATTCAGTTGAATAGAGCGCTTGGACCTGGAAGCCGCTTCGCGTGACGTCACACTTAACAAGCGGATTGATCTGTTGTTGAGATTCTACAGTTGCTATGGTAACACAACAACTATAGTGATTGATCTGTTGGTGATTGGTCTGTTGTGGTCATTTAACAGTTGCTATGGTAACACAATAACTATAGTCATTGATCTGTTGTGGTGATTCTACAGTTGCTATGGTAACACAGCAGCTATATTAATTGATCTGTTGTGGTGATTCTACTACAGTTGATATGGTTACCACAGGGATTAATCTGTTGTGGTGATTCTGCAATTTCTATGTTAACACAACTATTGTAATATAAACAAATGACCCAATACTGTAGTTTTCTACATCTATAGTTTATATCAAACTGCAAATCACCACGGTTTACTGTAGTAAAAACTAAAGCATATTGCAGTATCATATAAAGTATAATACATACAAGCAGGAGCATTCATTAACAGAGTACTGTATACTATAGTATATAAAGTACTGCATATTACACTTTACTATAGTATGGTTCATGAGGACACTATAGTATTTACTAACTAAATAAATGACTATAGAATATTTTAACTGGACGAGTTCATGATACGTGCAAGCGCCAAGCTCATTTGCATAATAAGAGCATATTTAATGAGAAAGACCCCACCCGAACTGAACATAAAACTCAAACATACACACACACACACACAGTCAGAGACGCACACAGGCACGCGCGCGCTTGAGCAGTGCGATCGCGCGCTCTGTCAATTCTGGACTCTCTCTCTCTCTTTCTTTCTCTCTCTCTCTCTCTCTCTCTCTCTCTCTCTCTCTCTCTCTCTCTCTCTCTCTCTCTCTCTCTCTCTCTCTCTCTCTCTCTCTCTCTCTCTCTCTCTCTCTCTCTCTCTCTCACACACACACACACACACTCACTCACTCCACCGTGCGGAACCCTCTGCCGCTCGCCAGTTCTTCTCTCCGCGTCTCCGGGACTTTTACTCCGCGCTTCAGGTGAGTGAATCTGCCCTGATCTCTGCATTTCACGTGGTGTGTGTGTGTGTAAATATATGTGTGTGCGCGTGACAGACAGAAAGCGAGATGTGAGATGTCGTTCAGGTCTGTCTGTCAGGAGTGTGTGTGTGTGTGTGTGTGTGTATGTGTGAGTGTGATTATGTCTGTCACTGTGTATGTGTGCGAGTGACCAAAATGCTGATCCGCCGTTTTGTTGCGAAACTCCAGTGTTTGAGTCAGAGATGTGGAGCTACTTTATGCACACAGTATTTCTTTAGTGTGTGTGTGTGTGTAAGTTGACTGTCCTACAGGTGAAGCTGCGAGACTCGATTTATTTGAATGCTTTGATCAGTTTAATGTGCCTGAAAGTTCCCTTTGTGAACTGTGCATGTGAAAAAAGCCCAGCTGCTGGGTTAATTTGCTGAATTC